TCATTGTAACGATACTGTATTATAAACAGATATCGTCATAAATTACTAATATACTATTGCATTAATTTTCGGAAGGTAATTTTAAACAGCGATTACGTAACTGATTTTGGTGGTCATGCTAGCTAGGTTCGTGGTAGAACCATCACCTTCAGTGATTTAAAATGTTCATCGTTTTTAACTTCATTGAACCCAAGACTATTATGTAGAGCTCTTACCCGGGTCGGGTAGACCGTACGGGTCAGCTTCTTGACGGGTCACGGTCAAAATTTGATCTAACCCGGGTCGTATAAAATTCATAGATAAAATCTAGTGACCCAGTACTTCTGATGTAAAAAATATGAACTCAAATTACGAGCAAGGCTGGAAAATTTTTGATGCAAATCTGAAGAATTCTGGTTCTATATATAAAAGCACAACATAAAATTATAAAATTTTATAAACTCTTTAAATTCTCGAGAGTAAAAAAGGAGATCAGTGTTCCAAAAGATCACTTCTGATTCAATTGATTACATACAAATGAAGCCAAGTGAAAACTTGTCATTGAGATTTCAAATTATGCTTACCGGACTCAATCTATTTGATTTGTTAGAAATTTTGCCCAGCACACAAAATATAATTGAAAGTCTTCCCTTAACGGCACCCATATACTATGTAAACTACATAAAAGTAATATAAAAAATTCGGAAGTGAACGGATCATTCAAAGCCGATCAATCATATGAAATTTATTATGTAACCTCATTCTGTTTTTTCATTGTCAATTCCTTTACCCGTCATCTGCAATATAACAGATCCACCTGTCCATTTTGGTTCACGAATTTCCTTAGAATACTCCTTCAACTCATTTAATATCTTATCCATAATCGTTCTATCTAAAGTTCTTTTTTTTTTCTGTACTCCTCTATTCGAAATAACAATTTCTACTTGATATCCTTTAGCTAACCATGATTTAGCTCTACTAATCTTGTGCATTAAATCATGATCATCAACTTTCCATGTCATTTGCAATTCTTTCGTAACTATTGGTGTATTTTGGATTTGTTTTTTTCTTTTTTCATAAGCGAGTTTTTTTTCAATAAGTTTACATATCGGTGGATTTTCATTACTTTCTACTTCCACCAACCAATATTTTTCTCGATCAATTGTTGCTAAAAGTTTTTTTACTGATATAATACCTTCAAGTTTTCCTTCTTGATTTACAAATTTTACGTAGGCGTGATCATAATTATTTGCTGATTCTATTTTACGTAAAGACGAAAGGAAAGACGAAAAATGAAACCCCCGATAAAATGGCGAAACT